TGCCAGTCCTGGAGCTTGAACTCAGGGCCTGGGCACCACTGTCCCTGAGCTTCTTTTGCTCAAGACTAGCACTCTACCACTTGAGCCACAGCACCACTCTTCCAGTTTTTTCTGTTAATGTGGTACTGAGGAATCAAATCCAGGGCTTCATGCATGCTAGGCAAGCACTCTATCACAAAGCTACATTCCCAACCCTCTCCTCCATGTTAAACTATTGTTTCCTAAGCTCTTCACCTCTACTCTCTTCCTTTACAACTCCATTCTGAATATGAGCATCCAAATAACTTTTTAATACATAGTATGTACTATATCTTTATTAATTATGTTTTTAATTAATGAAACTTTTACTTTTTATTTTTTATTATAAAGATGATGTACAGAGGGGTTACAGTGACATAGGTCAGGTAATGAGTGCATTTCTTTTCCAACAATGTCACCCCTTCCCTCTCCCAGTTTTTTCCTCCTGTACCCTCTCACAAGTTGTAATAATTCATTTTCAACATAGTGTCTAGTGAGTGCCACTGCTACATTTGTCCACCCCTCCCCCCCCCCGTGGCTCCCCTTACTCTCCCAAAGATAGATAAATGGACAAACAAGACAAAAAAGAAAAAAGAAAAACAACAAAGAAAAAAAAAAACCTTGTTTCCATTTCCAAATGACTTCAAAACGCTGCTCAACATGGTGAAATCCTGTCTCAAACAATCATTTAAATATTCACCAGCCCTTGTGCTACATTCTGAGAAGATAATGGGGGGAAAATGGGCCTATACTCTCTGGAGATACATCTGATGTACATTTAGTTACACTGCTAATAGATGCTACAGAAGAAGGAAGAAGTAGAGGAGGAGGAAGAGGAAGAGGAGGAGAACAATGATAAAAGAGTAAGATCTAATGCAATGGAAAATAAGGAATCTATAGAAAGCCTGGCTCACTCCTCATCCTCAGAACTTAATTAATTCACTTACTTAGGGAGAAAATTTTCAACTTCCCAAAGTCAAATTCCCATTGCTTTAATAGCATTTACCCAGTTGTAATTTTACTTTCATTTTGTGGTTATTTGATTAACATCTACCTCTACCACTAATCCGAAAGCACCACAAAAGTAGAGAACATTCTTTTTTTTTTTTTTAATCCTCTGTTCAGGAGTTGGATGAATGAAGGATGAGTGAAAGATTCGGTATGAAGAATGTATAGGAATGAGCTCAAACAGATAAGAGAACTGAACAGACAGATGAGTTAAATATGGGATAATGGTGGCTCACCAGCTGTAATCTTAGCTACCCAACAGGCAGAGAATCAAGATTCAAAGCCAGTCCCCGCAGACAAAAAGCTGGAAGTGAAGACAAAAAGCTGAAAGTGAAAGTATGGCTCAAGTGGTAGAACACCAGCCTTGAGTGGAAAATAGCCAAGCAAAAACACAAGACCCTGAGTTCAAGCGTGGATTTCAATCAGCTAGAGAGAGAAAAAGAGAACTGAAGCAGGAAATATATATATATATATATATATATATATATATAAATATATAATTTGCAAACACCATACAAGAAAAAAAGGCAATGGAGAATAGAAACTTTGAGGCACTGAGACAGATGTTACTGAGGATGAGACAAGTCAAAGCAGTGGAGTGAAGAATGACAGGATGGGACTGAAATGTAGGCTCTTGTCCTGTGGCTCAGGAAGCTAGGGAAGGCTTTAAGGAAGGGCCAACTTCCTTTGGTTGAGAAAACCATGAGTAAAATTTATTTCCTTGGCTTTTATTTTTCTGTATTATTCAAATTTTCCTTCCAGCAATGGCTAACCTCCTTCAGAGTGAAAGCAAAAAAACCACAGAGTGAGTCACCTAAGCAGTATGTAAGACCCTCATTATTTTCTCCCTCCTTGCTCCTGCCACATTCACCCAGTCACATTCCTCCTTAGGCGCCTGAGTAACTCTACTTCCTTCCGCAGCCTTACTCTCAACAGGACTACTATCATCTTACGTGCTATGAATATATATATATATATTACATATAAACAGTTGTACAAAGGAGTTTTAATTCAATGTCAACGGAAGTACAATGCATCTTGATATGATATATATTTTCTGTCTCCGTTGTCCCAAAGAATTTTTTCTTTTCTTTTCTTTTTTTTTTTTTTTGCCAGTCCTGGGGCCTGAACCCTGGGCCTGGACACTGACCCTCAGCAATTCAGCTCAAGGCTAGTGCTCTACCACTTGAGCCACAGCACCACTTCTTGCTTTTTCTGCTTATGTGGTGCTGAGAAATCGAACCCAGGGCCTCATACATGCAAGGCAAGCGCTCTACCACTGAGCCACCTTCCCAGCCCTTCAAAGAATTTTTGCCTGACATTTGTGGAAGCAAAAATTCTCTATAAACCCCAGCCACAAGCAAGTCACCATTGTTTGAGATCACTCACATGTTAAGTCTCAATCCCTTTCAGCGCTCCTCTCTCCCCCACTCACCCTGAGTTTATATCTGTACTGTTCTGCACACTGATGTCAGTATAGAGAAATGGTCCTCCATAGCCTTAAGATTATACTGATGCTTCTGGCCAAAGCATTGCAGTTTCCAGACAAACCTTGGAACTGTGTCAAAGCCTGAGTCACCAACCCATACTCATCGTTCTCAAGGAAGTTGAGGACTGAAGGGGGTAGGGGCTCCATTTTTCTCCCTGTAGATCTTAGGTATTATTTCTTGCCATTGAGGTACAATGGAGTTCAAATCAGGCAGAAAAAGTTCACTAGTGGGCTTCTGCCTTCCTTATGCAAATAAACCCCCTCCTCTGGAGAGCCAGTTTGTATATCTGAGGCTA